CCAGAGCTAAAGAGGGGCAGAGAGAGAGCAATTCCAAGGGGCAGGCTGGATGACAGGGACAGGCAGTGAGGAGTGCAGCCTTTGATGAGATTTACTTGTTCCTGGCATGCTGAGTCACAGACAGTTTTGGGCAGAGGGTTTTAAGGAATAGAGTTGCAGGGCCGAGTTAAATGTCAGGCGAGGAGCTGAAAAGAAAATTTAGGCAAAGGCAGAGGGAGGGATAAGTTCGCTCTGAACGGAAACAGGGGCTGGGGAGTCCAGGGTCCTTGGAGTTTGGTTTCCAGGGAGCATGGCTGGGAGCACGGAGCTGGCTGGCCTAGGAGGGTGGGCTACTTAGAAAAGGGACCAAAGTGACAGAACGCTTTTACATTCATCGGTTTGCTTTTTCTGGAGGCCTCACCATGCAGTTCTACCAGAATAGACAGGTTTTGCCACAACTCATTACAAAGTGGCACGAGGCTTTCCAAGGGCGGGCGGGCAGTGGGGTGGCTGAGGCACGTGTAGGGTGAGGGACACTTTGAGAATCAAGGGGGGCTCAGGGCAGCTCTCTTCAAGTGCTAGAGGGTGGGGTTCACCCTGACCCCAGTGTGGCACACAAGCCTCAACTCATTCTGTTCTGGGGGGCCGGCCACTCCCACTGAGGCCCTTCTTGCTCCATCTGACTGCTCCTGAGAAGGGCTTCTGTCTCTGTGCCTGTCCTCCCAGCTTCTCCGTCTGCACCCCGAATCTCTGGCAGCCCTGGCAAAGCCCATGCCTCACTACACCTGTCTTGCCTCTGAACTCTGGCACATCGCTCTGTGTGGTGCTAGGAACTCGACTACAATGAATCTGAGAAGCAGTGAGGTCTGGGGTAGAGCCGAACTCCACCCTGGCATTGGAGGACCTGCTTTCATTTTCTAGAACAAGAGTGCCAGCTTTCTGAAAGAATAGTTTTGAACCTCAAAACTGTGTGAGTGCATTGTGCCCCATCAAACGTATCTCTCCAAGTTCACCCTAAGGAAGTAAGAAAACATCAGAAGTAGCAAGTACAAGAATATCCACGTAGTGCTGCTACCAGAGAAAGAAAGAAATGTCCAAGAACAGGACTTGGCTCTACGGTGGGACGTACGCACAATGGGCCTCTGTACAGCAGTGAAAGTGATCGAGAATTATATTTGTTGACAAAGAGAAAGATCATGTTATCCTGCTAAGGAAAGCTCTAGGTCCTGACCCCTCTTACAACAGACCTACCATGGCAAGGGGGGTGGGGTGGGGGGTGGGAGAAACAGCACAATTAGGCCAAATCTCGAAATTGAACTTGAGATGCCATATCCTGATGCAGTCCACTGCAAGTTACCGTGTCTTTTTTTTTTTTTTTTTTTTTTTTTAAGATTTTATTTATTTATTTGACAGAGAGAGACACAGCGAGAGCAGGAACACAAGCAGGGGGAGTGGGAGAGGGAGAAGCAGGCTTCCTGCCGAGCAGGGAGCCCGATGTGGGGCTCAATCCCAGGACCCCGGGACTATGACCTGAGCCGAAGGCAGACGCTTAACGACTGAGCCACCCAGGCGCCCCTACCGTGTCTTTAAGTGTTAAGCATTATACACATATCTATATATATATCAATATAGACTCTAATTTTTGTAAGTCCTGCTTTAGGATTTCCTCACCTTTCACAGACACATTCTGGGACTTCAAAAACAGTGAGTGAGTGGTCCCAGCCTCGCTGGACTTCAGACTACCATCACCTTTCATATGTGCGTGCTTACATGTTCAGGAATAATGCATGGAATAGCAAGCAGAAGGAGTATGACTGCTGATTATTGTTTGCATATCTCTTTGGCTATCTTGATTTCCTCTTTTTTCCTACAGAAAACACGTCTTCCTCATATGAAAGAAACACTTAACTCAAGCCCACCCTCCATCCCCCGAGCGCACTTCAGGAAGGAGCAGATTAGCCAGCTCCCTCGGCAAGTCCAGCCTCCCCGCGACAGCCCTCTTGCCTCTGGGCCCGACTGTGTGGCCAGTCCAGTCCCAGTGCTGAGCTGGCTCGTTGGGGTTTGCTCTCCACTCTGCATGCTTAGGGTGGGGCATGGCCCCGGAAGGTGGACTCCTTCAAGCTATACTTACAGGGTTACGTCCTGGATCACCTGCCAGGTATATTTATCAAAGCGTAGGGTCATTTAAAACTAACATTTTACAACAAGGTACTATTTAAAACAGATTATGAAACTAAGAATTTTAGTTGCTGAGGGAAGTCAGGACAATGAACTTTGCACTGCCCTGTTGGAAATAGGAAGCCCCCTCTCAAATGAACAAAAGTTAGATAGAAATTTGCAACTATTGTTTTGTTGTTGGTTTTTAAAACTAGGAGCTGGGAAGATTTCATGTATATAACCTAAAGGTGTGTCTCCAGAAGGGTTTCTACATATTTTTACAGAATGACTGAGATCCAAAGTCCTAAAAGCTTCTCTAAGGCCACAGCTTTCGTTATTTAAATTTAATTACATTTTTCTTGTTCTCTTAGCATAGCAAAAAAAAAAAAAATGTTTATTGAGCTGGGCTGGGTGACTTAAATTACCCTCTGCCCTCACCCCTCCTAAATACTGTTGATGAGGTTTTAAAAGCATCCTTTTGATGTGCTGTCTATTGGGAAGAATGCACCCCTCAGTTAACATATCTTTACTAGCACTGACCTGAACCACTCAGGTGCCAAATACATAGGAACCCACTGCAGGTAAACTGAGGCGTAGGTGGGTGAAATGAGTTGACTCCAGTTGACTGGAGGCTTGACTGATTGTAATGAGCTGCCCAGCACAGCTGTGGAGTTAGACCAAGAGTATTAACCAGGGACACCCATGATGGGAGTGATCAGGGATTAGTACATTCATTTGCTACAGCGTGCTACTCATCACACCCCCTCCCCGCAATGAGCTCAGGTCTAGCCACCCAAGAAAGTGGTGATAGATGAGAAGTTTTTGTGTGTTGTTTTTTTTTTTTTAAGATTTTATTTATTTATTTTTGAGAGAGAGAGAGCACAGAGGGAGAGGGAGAAGCAGACTCCCCGCTAAGCAGGGAGCCCGATGCGGGACTCAATCCAAGGACTCTGAGATCATGACCTGAGCCCAAGGCAGACGCTTCACCGACTGAGCCACACAGGTGCCCAGGAAGTTTTAAAAGGGAAGCAGGAGTAACCAGAGCCAGGTAAGGGCAGTTTGTGCTCCCAGTGTGGGGCGCAGGGGAAACAATGCTGACAGTGGAGAAGGGGACAGCTTAGCTGCCCCGGAGAAGGAACTAGGATTTCTCTGTGCATCGCTAAGTGCCAGGCCTTCCCATTTAATCCTTCACAGTTCCCATTTCACAGAAGAAAATTTAAGTCTGCAACTCTCCCCCCACCTAGGACTTGCTGCCAGATTCAAACACAAGTTCCTTGGCCCCAAACCCTCCTCCCTCTCCCCAGCATGAGCAATGAGGAGCTTCCTTCTTCCCCTGCCAGCCTGTCCCAGGGCAGGAGAGAGCATTTTCACGTGTAGACAGGGTACCATGCTCCAGGCACGAGTCTGACTTTGACTTAACACCAGAAATCCAGGGCACCAAATTCAAAATGGAAGTAAAAGAAAATCTGAACAGCTTGCAATGTCACAAAAACAGAACCAAAGAAAAGCCACTCCAATCCCTGCACCCCCACCGGGCCACAACAACAACAAAATTTATCCAAACCTTAAGTCCCGTAAGCCTGGTAGAACAGTTGTCCTTGCAATCCCTAGCTCCTTTTTTGACTCTTGCTTCATTTTTTTTTCTTCCATTCAAAGGCCAAGGGAGCCCCAGTTCTGCTTGTGAGCTCTGACTTTTTGAAAACCTTGTTTTCCATGATGGCGCAGAAGTTCAATCTGCTTTTCTCCCTTCAGGAGCCCTTTTCAGAAGGGCGGCAGTGTATGGTTGAATGCTATTTGCTCTGGGCGACCGTACAACAGTGGACATGTTTGGGAGCTGCACGCCCCTCCCAAGCCTGGGCTGGGAGGCAGGTGTGCTGCACAAATCCATCCTCCACAGGGAATTCTCGGAGCATGCGGAACCCAGACAGGTGTGGACTCCGCAGCGCAGCGGGAAAGAATTTCCCGTGGCCCCATAAAGGACTGAGTGGGACCGCATTCACTTGCCACAGGAGGGAGGATGCGAATTCTGAAATAGGGTTCCTTTCCTGAAATGGTGCATGCCCACTCGTCCCCTGTATCAGATGCCAACGACCTGGTGTGAATTTTAAGCTTAGATGTACTGAAAAGGGGAAGACATCTCTCAGTTGTCTTCCATGGAACATCCCCTGAAGATTACCCTACCAAGCACTCTGTAATTGCAAATGCATTTTTAGAAAAACCACCAAGTGATCCCAGAAGTACCTCCATACCTGTGCTAACACAAACTTCCCCACATGCCTGGTGATCCTGATATTTAACCGCCAATCCAGTGGTATTTCCAGGTCCACCTGCACAAAAGGGGATTTGAAACCATAACCTCCAGCCCCAAAATCTGCTGCCTCAGCCTCCCCCTGATCTGCTCCTGATGGCAGGAGAGCATAAGCAACCACCTAAAAATATCATTCCTACAAATGTAGGGTCATTCAAAACAGAACACATAACTACCACTCTCTTTTTGACAGTGGGCTTCATTATTATTATTATAATTATTACTTTGTCACCGAAGCATAAGATTGCCTTATCAAAGGACACTACTATTTTGAAACTCTGAAAAGTTAGTGGTGGATGATTAACATAGTCATGATACGGGTTTTTCAAAAGCATCCCCTTATGCTCTTCAGAAAGTATATTCACCCTCCAGGAAGATAAAGGAATGCTTTCAGGGGGGTTATAACTTAAATACACTCAAATGCACAAATCTTAAGGATTTAGTTCAAAGAGTTTTGACAATTGTCCACATCTGTATAACTACATCTGTATGCATAAATGGACTATGCAATGCCTGCCCAGATTTGGCACTAAGTTTTGCCTGTTTTAGAATTTCATCTAGCCCACCATCTGGCCCCGTGGACCCACGAACTGACTGATCCACACACGGACAAATCTGCCCGCTCTTGAGAGCGCCATGTCCGGTTCCTCCAGCGTGGCCGCTATGAAGAAAGTGGTTCAACAGCTCAGGCTGGAAGCCGGGCTCAACCGCGTGAGGGTTTCCCAGGCAGCTGCAGATTTGAAACAATTCTGTCTGCAGAATGCCCAACACGACCCCCTGTTAACTGGTGTATCTTCAAGTACGAATCCCTTCAGACCCCAAAAAGTCTGTTCCTTTTTATAGCAAAATGAATCTTTGGATGGTTTTCTAAACCACTTTTCATGAACCAGTGAATATTCAAAGGAGAACTAAATTTGAAGCCTGTACAAAAGTTTATTGTCCCGGAGCGCCTGGGTGGCTCAGTCGTTAAGCGTCTGCCTTCGGCTCAGGTCATGATCCCAGGGTCCTGGGATCGAGCCCCGCATCAGGCTCCCTGCTCCGCGGGAAGCCTGCTTCTCCCTCTCCCATTCCCCCTGCTTGTGTTACTGCTCTCGCTATCTCTCTCTCTGTCAAATAAATAAATAAAATCTTTAAAAAAAAAAAAAGTTTATTGTCCCTATAACACATGCCATACTACATAACCTTCTACTTTTGTCAGTCCTTAACACCTACCTCTCTGAATTTTCATAAATTTCTATTTCACAAAGGTAATTATTTTATATACACTGGCAGCAGCATACAATAAAATACTTAGTGTAAAAAAAAAAAAAGAATTTCGGGGTGCCTGGGTGGCTCAGTTGTTAAGTGTCTGCCTTCGGCTCAGGTCATGATCCCAGGGTCCTGGGATCAAGCCCCGCGTCGGGCTCCCTGCTCCACGGGAAGCCTGCTTCTCCCTCTCCCACTCCCCCTGCTTGTGTTCCCTCTCTTGCTGTGTCTCTCTCTGTCAAATAAATAAATAAAATCTTTAAAAAAAAAAAAAAAAGAATTTCATCTAAATGGGAAAGTATTCATATTTTTGAATCTGGCTTCTTTCACCCAACATGATGCCTTGAGATTCATCCATGTTCTTGCATGTGCCTATAACTCGCTTTTTAAAAATTTTTTTGAGTAGTATTCTGTCATGTGAATATATTACAATTTGTTTAACCAGTCTCCTATGAATGGACATTTGGGTTCTTTCTAGTTTGGGGCTATTATTAAGAATAAGGCTGCTCCCCACATGTTTGTACAAGTCATTTTGTGTACATGTTTCTGTTTCTGTGGGGTACACACTTGGGAGTGGGGTTGCTCTGTCATATGGAAAGTGAAGGCAGACCTCAGAGATATTGTGGGTTCGGTTCCAGACCACTTCCATAAAGCAGGTATCGCAATAAAGCAAGTTAAATGAAACTGGTTTCCCAGTGTATATAAAAGTTATGTATACACTTATTGTAGTCCGTTAAGTGTACAATAGCATTATGTCTTAAAAAACAATGCACATACCTTAATTTAAAAATACTTTATTGCTAAGGGCGCCTGGGTGGCTCAGTTGGTTGAGCGACTGCCTTCGGCTCAGGTCATGATCCTGGAGTCCCTGGATCGAGTCCCACATCGGGCTCCCTGCTCGGCGAGGAGCCTGCTTCTCCCTCTAACCCTCCCCCCTCTCATGTACTTTCTTGCTCTCTCAAATAAATAAATAAATCTTTAAAAAAAAATACTTTATTGCTAAGAAATGATAACTGATCTGAGCTTCCAGCAAGTTGTAATCTTTTTGCTGGCGGAGGGGCTCGCCTCCGAGTAGGCGGCTGCTGACCGACCAGGGTGGTGGCTGCTGAAGGCTGGGGCAGCTGGAAGAGTTTCTTAGACGGCAACAGGGAAGTTTGCTGCATTGAGTGACTCTTCCTTTCCTGAGCGATTTCTCTGTAGCGTGTGATGGTGTTTGATAGCATTTCACTCACAGTGGAACTTCTTCCAAAACTGAAGTCAATCCTCTCAAACCCTGCTGCTGATTTATCAGCTAAGTTGATGTAAGATTCTAAATCCTTTGTTGTCATTTCAACAGTCTTCATGGCATCTCCACCAGGAGTAGATTCCATCGCAAGAAACCACTTTCTTTGCTCATCCACGAGAAGCAGCTCCTTAACCATTCAAGTTTGATTATGAGATTGCAGCAATGTGGTCCCATCTTCAGGTTCCACTTCTAATTCCAGTTCTCTTGCTGTTTCTACCACCTCTGCAGTGACAGCCCCCACTGATGTCCTGAACCCCTCCAAGTCCTCTGTGAGTGTGGGAACCAACCTCTCCCAAACTCCTGTGAATGCGGAGATTTTGACCTCTTCCCATGAATCATGAATGTTCTTAAAGGCATCTAAAATGGTGAATCCTTTCCAGAAGGTTTTCAATTGACTTTGCCCAGACCCATCAGAGGAATCACTTTCTATGGCAGTGAGAGCCTTTCAAAATGTATTTCTTCAATAATAAGACTTGAGAGTTGAAATTATTCTCTGATCTGTGAGCTGCCATATCAATACTGTGTCAACGGGCATGAAAACAACATTCATCTCATTGCACATCTCTATCAGAGCTCTTGGATGACCGGGTGCACTGTCAATGAGCAGCAAAATTTTGATAAGAATCTTTTTTTCTGAGCACTAGGTCTCAACAGTGGTTTTAAAATATTCAGTAAACCACGTTGTCAACAGATGCACTATCAGACGTGCTGTCCGACGGGCTTTCTTTTTCCATTTATAAAGCATGGGCACAGTGGATTGAGCATCATTCTGAAGGGCCCTAAGATTTTCAGAATGGCCAGTGAGCACTTCGCTGACTTCAAGTCACCAGCTACATTAGTCCCTAACAGGAGAGTCAGCCTGTCCTTTGGAGCTTAGAAGCCGGGCACTGACTTCTCTGTAGCTCTGAAAGTCCTCGATGGCATCTTCTTCCAGTAGAAGGCCTTCTTGTCTACACTGAAAACCTGTCATGGAGTGTAGCCACCTGCATTGCTATCACAGCTGGCCCTTCTGGAGAACTTGCTGCAGCTTCTCCACCAGCCCTCGCTGCTTTACTTTGTGCTTTCTGTTGTGGAGCTGACTTCTTTCCTTCGACCTCATGAACCAACCTCTGTTAGCTTCAAATTTGTCTTCTGCAGCTTCCTCACCTCTCTCAGCCTTCCTAAATTGAAGAGAATTAGGGGCTTGCTCTGGATCAGCCTCTGCCTTGAGAATGTTGTGGCTGGTTTCATCTTCTGCCCAGACCACTCAAAACTACTCCATATCTGCAATAAGGCCGTTTCACTTTCTTATCATTTGTGTTTTCACTGGAGTTGCACTTTTACCTCCCTTCCAGAACATTTTCTTTGCATTCATAGCTTGGCTGTTTGGTGCAAAAGGGCTACTTTTTGGCCTGGCTCAGCTTTTGGCATGCCTTCCTCACTAAGCTTAATCATAGTCTAGGTTTTGATTTAAAGGGAGAGACATGTGCCAATCTTCCTTTCACCTGAACACTTAGAGGCCATTGTAGGGTTATTCATTTGCCTAATTTCAATATTGTGTCTCGGGGAACAGGGAGACCCCCAAGGAGAGGGAGAGAGTCAGGGGAACATTTGGTTGAGAGAGCAGTCAGATTTATGGATTAAGTTCCTGGTCTTACATGGGTGTGGGTTGTGGTGCCCCCCAAAATTACAAGAGTAACAGCAAAGATCATGGACCACAGATCCCCATAACAAATGTAATCACGATGAAAAAGTTTGGAATATTGTGAGAATTACGAAAATGTGACACAAACAGACGCCAAATAAGCAAATGTTGTTGGAAAAATGGCGCCCATGGGCTTGCTCCACGCAGGGTCGCCACAGACCTTCAGTTTGTAAAAGGTGCAGTACCTGTGAAGCATCACAGAAGGTGGGCTTGTATATGATTATCCTTTAAGAGATGGCCCAAGTGTCCACTGAGGCAGTTGTATGAGTGAAGGGAATGGATGAGCATTCCTACTGTTCCATGTGTTCACCACATTTGGTATTGTCAGTAATTTCTATTTGAGCCGTTCAAGTGGCTTAGAGGCTCATTGTGGTAATGACATTGTGCCTGTGGGGTCTACTCTGACAAACATTATCATCATCACGTGAACTACTTATGACAGAAGCCACTGACTGGAGGGGCAGCTGTGACAAAGTTAAAAGCTCCAGAAAGAAAACTCGGAAGCCAACACAGACTCCCCTGACCGCACTCCACCCCCACCCAAGGGAGAGCATGCTTATTTCAGGGCATGTAGAGTGGGGTGATTTTTAAAAAACTTGTGGCAACATTTAAACTCTTATTTATTCCCCACCTGGTGAGGAAACACCATCTCCCAATTTTCCCAAACAGGCTGTTTGGGAAAGAGAGAAAGGTGAGGCTTGACATTCCTTGGATTATTAACTTATCCTTTTCCAGGTCATTTTGATTTCCTCTTTTGCTCTTTAGCACCCCATTTTATTTTATTTTTTTTAAAAAATATTTATTTATTTGTCAGAGAGAAAGACAGCAAGAGAGAGAGAGGCGCAGGCAGAGGAAGAGGCGGGGAGCTTGATGCGGGACTCGATCCCAGGACCCTGGGACCATGACCCGAGCCGAAGGCAGATGCTTAACCAACTGAGCCACCCAGGTGTCCCAGCACCCCATTTTAGAGACCATTGATTTCCTGAGTTGGTTTTTTGGATGAGAAGACAATTCTTACCACTCTTCACAGGGCCTGGTACATGAAATTAAGGCAAGGAAATCAGCTATTGCTGCTCAGAAATGTGGGACTCACATCCAAGGTAAGAAGAGGTCAGGTTTAAAACTGGTTGTGTATAATTTTTTTTTTAAAGATTTTATTTATTTTTTTTGACAGAGAGAGAGACACAGCGAGAGAGAGAACACAAGCAGGGGGAGTGGGGGAGGGAGAAGCAGGCTCCCCATGGAGCAGGGAGCCCGATGGGGGTTTCGATCCCAGGACCCAAGCCGAAGGCAGACACTTAATGACTGAGCCACCCAGGCGCCCCTGGTTGTGTATAATTTTAAAAATATGCAGTCTGTACTCTCTTCTACCTTCACGAACAAAAGAAGTGACATTCACTGAAGACATACATGTAGCCTCTGTCTTCGGTGTCTTGGGGCAGTTGTCCTGCAGGGGGTTGGGGAGGGCTGCGGGGACACCATGGTCCCAGCTCTGACTCTCCTCCCATAGAGGTGGGCCTGCTGGCTTCCAGAAATTATGCTGTGGGCCTGAGTGTCTGCGGCATGGTGTTTATTTTATGCGTGTATAAACAATTTCAAAAATTACTATTTCTAGATTGCGATTCTCGTGTGGTTGCACAGAAAGCCAAAAGGGTCACAGAAAGTTATCCATTTTCCTGAGAGAAATATTAGCCTCACAGTTGCAACAACTATGGTAATTTAGAACATTAGA